TCACTTTTGTTTGCTTGGGCCGTCTCTCATCCCAACTTGATAATGAGGAATGCGGTGTGACCCTGACCTCTATCAGCCCATGCATGACCTTCTGACTCCCCCGCATAACCTTTGACCTTCTCTTTGACAGCTTGATTAATTACCCTGTGTTATGATTTATGAGTAAGTGCTATGTAAAAATAATAGACAACAGGTGGTCCTCTAAAAACTTTTTGTGGCATGTTTTCTTTTCCTGACTAACTTGATGAGCTATTTTAAGTTGGAAACTTGCTGGGACAATGTGTGTTTGGCAGTAACACGGCATTTTTACACACTTGGACACAGCACTGGAATTCAGGGAGCTAGGAGTTGAGGTGTAGCTGGGATGAAAATATTACAAAGTGTTAGCAGGGTGCAGTGCCAAAATGCACATTGGGTGGAAACACAAAACGGAGTCAACTGACATTTCAGGCGTTTCAGTCTCAGGTCACGTCTTGAGAAAATTGCTCAAATAATGGAGGGGGCATTTTTCAAGCTGAGCTGCATCTCCAACAGCTATGTTTACTTTAACGCTTCACTAGTGACTTCTGATTGGTTGTCATGACCTCATCCCACTGTTGCACCTAAGATGTTGCAACAGTGACATATATGTACCCTTCTCATGAAAAAGATGGGAAATAAACAGAACATACATCTTTCAAAAAGATGAATGGACCTTACTATGTCCATTTTAACCATGGATAGATATAGTTTAGAGATCTAAACACTTTGAATCACATTTCCCTTGAGGATTACTCTGATCATGTTGCAAACAATCTAAATAAAATTGTGGACTTAAAAAGCCAGATTGATAAAGCTTAGGAAAATGATCTCTTACAGACCCTTAGATTCAAGCCAAAAAGATAGTTACATAGGTCAAAAGATTCCACTCTAGCCCCTGACCTCTATGGTCACATATGGCATCCCATCTTTGTGGATTAATATGCAGGAGTGAATGTTTTCAGCTCATTATTCACTTGGCCAGGAACAAGATATTTTAAAAAGATTCAGAATATACCCCAAGTATTTTTAGTATATTATTGGGGATTAACCCTCTAAGTTATTGTGGATATAGGTACAATTTAAAAAATCTCACATAAAGTTCCAGTAAAGGACAGAAATACTCTTCCTATTTCAAACTGCTTTGTTTCATTGACCAGCGCGCTTCTCCATCAACATGGCTGTTGCTACAGAGGTTTCCTATTCATAATTCTATGTGCTTTTCAACACCTGTCTGCTTTAGCCTGCTTTCCAGTTGGCTATCATTTTCTAAATAAATGATAAATGAGCTATTATATATTTGTAATTGTATTTATAGACTTGAAACTAGAGCCTGCATAGTCTTCTTTTACCACTCTTAGACCTCTGGGAGTATTTGGGTTCATGGATTAGTAGTTCTTAATAAACCTATCCAAAACATTAGAATTTAGGAAAAATCCTATAATACTTTTATTTAAAGTTGCATATTTTCATGTGAAAGCATAATCTAAAGGATGAAGCTTACCTATCAATAACAGTTTTGATTATCACATCTAATCCTAGATGTATTACTGGACTGTGGAAATAAACTTGAACTTTTTTAACCACATGCGTATTTCTTCTCTGAGATATATTTGTATGCTGAGGTTGGTTTGTATCAATTAGTTGAATTATGAAGATTTGAGACAGAAAAATATTAAAATAGTTTAATCATAAATGAGTAAAAAAACAGTAGCTTGCAAAGTGTAAAATAACTTTTTAATGAGCAGAGAACTGGCTTCCTTTTGTACAGAGAGGAGAAAGAGAAAAAAACCACTCCATTATTATGTACATGGATAACATCTCTGATTTTTTACAAATAAAGACAGCCTCCTGGCACCGTGTGTTTATTTACAAGACAGTTCACCCATGTTCAATATTTTAATAACACTATATGCCCACTGTGGTTGAAAGTGAGATTAGCATCTACCTTTCTATTGATATTACTGTCAATGTAGGTTATACTCCAAAGAGAGCTTTTTAAACTGAACTAGTATTGGTTTGTCTTTGTTTTAAACACATTAGTTATTACAAGTTTTTAACATGAAGAGTACGGTTTATTATTATTGTTAGATAAAAACAGTTTTGTCTTTTAATGGCTTAAACTTTTATTTGTTTAGCTCTACGTTGTCTTGCACCCAGTACAATCCATAGGGTTTTGCGCGAGTCACTGGAGAGTATGGTCTTTTGTATTTAGTCATAATTTTCTGATTTCACTTTTTGGTTTGTATTTTAAAAACTGAGTCTTTGCAAAGTTTGATACTGCAGATCTATCCTCCTTATGATATAAATGTTTCAGACATTGAATGAAATCAGAACTCACATTGTTTTCATAGATAAGTCTTTACTGAAGGATAAGGATTACCTTTTGGTGCAGTAGGTTTGTATGGTTTAGGACAGGTAGATAGAGGTTAAATTCTGATGCAGTTGTGTTAGATTGCATTTCTACATTGTTTCATGTGCGCAGGCAATGTATGTTAAATCAGATGCTCATTCTGATGTCACAGCTTAGACTGAAGTGATCATGGAAAAAAGTAACCATAGGAAAATGAATATAGATAATACTTTTTATAAGCAAAATAATATTAGAATAGTATCTTCAAATAGTACATGTTGAGAGCTGAGGGACTTTTTTCAATTATCAATTAGTATAGCGATGATACAAAGAAATGCCTTCTACATTTGAAAAAAGTAAAAAAATATTAAAAGTGTAAAGGGAGATATGTTATGCAGCTTAAATCTAATTGATAAAAATCCTTTAATTGATTTACGTGGTAGTGAATTTGAAAATGGAATCATTTTTCATCTGTTGATGTCTCTGTGAAAAATTGACATTGTGTCCTCATAAAATTGGACAAATGAGTCATGTAATTTTCAGTTACATAATCAATAACTTAGACAAATTCTACTTCTTTGATGATTTATATGTCTGTTTGGTGGCCAGCTTAAAATGGACACAGGGTTTCAAATTTCAGTAACACTTCTGAAACCATAATAAATACATGAATTTTGCATTTGGCATTGTATAGAGACCAAAAAGAATCAATACACAGAATGTGTTCAAAATGAACAGGTCAAGAATATGAGCAGCAAACTACTCTATACTGCAGACTAAAATCACCAAAATACTTCATGTAATTAGTTTTGAAAACATAGTTATTTTTTACTACTATATAGTTAACATAGCATGAAAAATATTCTTTCATTTGATGTTCCTAATGTACTAATATTTTAACATAGGTTTATGGGCTAGATTTGTTTTAGATGTATAAATTTAATTTTTTAAGTTGTCTTTTTTCTGCAAGTATAGCACAGTATTCTTTTGTCCTGTTAGTTTTTATATGATTATTCCTATTATGGGATAGCTAAATTCCAAGATGTGCTGTCTTATTTTCTCTCTCTCTCTCTTTTTAAGTTCAATTCACTCAGTAGAGAGGGCAGGGAAGAAACATGACAGGAGACCACTTACTCATGGTACAGAATCTAGTAAGGAGGCAATTTTCTCTTTGGCCTATGGTGACCCTTTTTGACTATGTTCCTTACACCAGAGACAGTGTACTGAATGCCTCTATTTCACCCTGTTTAGCAGAGTGCAACAGTGTCCTTTAAGTTAGTTTTGGTGGGAGGAGAAGTTATAGCAGAAATTTGAGAAGGGCGTGAAAAGTTGTACAGGCACAAGGAAGAGGGGTAGGAACTTCCTTCAAATGTGATTTTAATAACTAGTCGAGTGTGTCCAACTGTAGAAAATCACCAAGTGACAATCTGTCTACCTGACAGTGATCACAATGCATTACAAGATTTTTGAATAGCTATACAGATTGGAATAAAGCAAGACCAAATAAAGTATCTTTTGTTGGTGTAGATTTGGTTTACTTTGGTCAGCTAGGTATGTAGACTTCTTTGATCTTTTCACTTGGTCAGAGTGAAAAAATTAGGGTTTAACTAAAAAAGGCTGAAATAATGATAGATAATTGAGAGAGAGTAATTTAAAAATATAATCTTTATTTCTGAAGTTTATTTCTCTAATGGACAGCTTGGGTTGAATTTGGAGCCTATAGAAACTTTATTTTTATGTTAAATCTTTGTCTGCTTCGCAGTATTTCCCAGCATTTAAAATGCTCTTATTCTCAAATATACAAAATCTGTTATTTTTAAATGATATGAAAACAAATAGATTCAGCATTTTATTTCTCTTAATATACATTCTTGTATCTTTCAACATTTTCATTTTGTGAGCGACAAAAATCCAGCTTAACATGACCTTTTACAAATCACAGGTTTCCTCTGGGTTTCCAGATCACAGTATGTAACTTAATCCCAATGAAGTTTTAAAACAGTTTTAAAGTGGTACTTAAAAGCCATTTTACTCTAACAGAGTTGACTTGTAAGCAGTATCACTGAATCTGAGTTGATATTGATTCATTGTTACTAACGCTATCAGTTTATGCATTGTATGCTGGTGGTCAGCTATACAAAAGAGGGCTGCTATTTTAAGCTGCATTGAATAGTTTCCGGAGAATTTGTTTAAAAAAAAAAATCTTCCTATTATAAAAGTTTTATTGGCTGGATATAAAGTTTTATGCTCAGCATTTATGCGGTGTTCTTAACATCTTTTGTTTTTAGTTCCAGTACTTTCTGAAAAAATCTTATGAGATAACATTTGATTGTAAATGTAAAGCTAATACCAACACATATTTAAAAGTATTTTGAATGTAAAACCAGTTCATACAAATAAAAACAGAGAAAGAGGCATGTACAAATGCCACCGATGGATAGTTATCCCTTCAATTACAAAAATGAAATACAATGCTTCTTAAAATATTACCATTGGAACTGTGTTCTTGGTCTACTTTATAAATCACTTACATTTATTAAATGAAGAATGGTAAAATAAATTGAAAGCAAATTCAAAGACTAAATCTTTCCTTTCATATTCTTTCTTTTTTTCTTCTTTTCCAAAACAGGAAGGCTATGGAGTAATAGTACTGAATCCCAATGAGAACTATATTGAAGTAGAAAAGACAAAAGCCCAAGTACAGCAGTCTTCTGATAGCTCAGATGAACCTGCAGAAAAGAGAGAAAGAAAAGATAAAATCCAAAAGGAAACAAAGAAGCGACGTGACTTCTACGAAAAGTATCGGAACCCGCAAAAAGAAAAAGAAACTGTGCAGTTGTATATCAGAGTAAGTTCATTTTAACATAGCTTGTGCCCTTATTTGGTAAATTATGTTTTGGATTCATAATTAATGGAGATATTTAAATTAATAAATGCTATGCTTTTCTTTTAAAAAGATAGAGAAACCTCAATCACTTATACCACCTTCAAGAGTTTGTTCAAAGTGAGGGACTGTTCCTTCTATTGATATTTTTTGTCATTTATTGAATGTGAAGTTTTGAAAATGTTACAAAACGTTCCTTTCAGATTTCAAAATGGAACTTCAAATAACCCACAGAGGAGCAAACTGGATGTTACCAGACAAACTCTAATTTAAAGAAGTCTTTGTAAAATGATTTTATAAGTCTGTGTGTACATAAGAAGCACTGTCTAGTACAGCTTAGGAAAAATATAAGTTTCCATG